CCCCCCCCCCCCCCCCATGGCTTTCAATCTGGCCCCTGGGGGGGGGAGGCTTTCCCAAGTCCTTGCCCAGTGTTTAAACCTGGGGGCATTCTTCCCCCGCCTCTCGCCCCCCTGTTCCCCAAAGCTCGACGGAAGGAAACGCGCAGAGGCCGAAGCGCTTTGTAACTTTACAAAAAAGGGAAAGGTTTATTCGTAAGAGAAGTCTGGTGCCCGAGATACTAGTGCCCGTCTGCGGGCGATGCGTGCGGTGAGGCGGAAGGGTGGAAAGAGGTCGGGCAGAGATACCCAGCAGATCAGTAATAATAACAATAATAATAATAACAATAAAATCAAAATATAATAATTCTATCCAGCTTGACAAAAACAAAAAAGTCAAAAAATTACAGCTCAGTAGAAAAGCCTGCCCTGTTCCCCCTCCATGGCCTGAAGGAGGGAGAAGGGAGAAGAAGAAGAAACGTTTCTTTTTTTAAAAAAGACCCAGAGGGGGTGGGCCTTTGAGGAAAAAAAAATATCCCAAAAAGGGCCCTCTCCCCTTGCATAAAATCAAAGTTACAAAACCGAGTGAAACCAGCAGAAGACCTGGAATGCAGGAAGGGTCTTGGGAAGCGTGGGGGGGGGACGTGGGACTGATGGGGCCCTTCCCTTGCCCAGAAGAGCGCCATCTTTGGAAGTGGGGCATGCCCCCCCAGGAGCAGCAGCGCTCCTAACTACTTGAGGGGCTGGCAGGGGCATCCAGGGTGCAGCCCCGGGAACCGGCCCTCCAATGCTCTGCCGTCACTCGTGCCGCCTCTTCTGCAGGAGGAAGATGGAGGGGCTCTGAAATGCTCCCAGGAGGGGGGGGGGTAGGAGATGGGACCCCACCCGGGAGAACTGCCCGGTCTGGCCCTTGCAAGCTGCAAGAAGGAAGGGCCTCCAACAGTGAGGGCATCTCCTTGGGCCCTTCGCCAGCCCCTCCTTCGGCTGGACGGCACACGCCCCTCTGTGGTGGGGAGGAAACCAAACACCGAGAGCCAAAAATGGGGAGGGGGAGCGGAGAGACTGGCCCTTCCTGGGCTGAGGAGAGGGGAGCCCCTTCCACCAGGGAAAGAGCCCGCTTCCTTCCTTGGGGGGGGGGTTTCAGGAGGAGGGTCCTGCTATTGCTCTGGGTAAGGCACAGGTGGGGGTCCTGCCCTTCCTGGGGTGGGGGCCAGCACGGATTGTCCCTCTTCCCCCCACCCCAAAATTGCACGGTGGGAGCTGACAGGGAAGGGGTGTGGGGGTGGGGCTTGTCTAGTGCGTGAGGGGGCCAGAAAGGTGAGGAGGGGGCCTTTGTGATTTTCCATTTTATTCTCTTCTGCGCATGAGGGAGAATTAGGCTGCTGACTCCGGGTGGCACCGGCTGGGTCTGGGGGCTAAGGAGACCCCCTCTTCCGAAGCTCCGCGATGAATGCTGTGGAGGGGGGGGGGAAACACGGGGGTCAGTTTTGGACTATGGAGCACAGCCTCCTCTACCCTGGGACCCCCCCCCCAAAACCGTTGCCAGGCAGAGCTGGGGGGGGGTGTTATCCCTCAGTGCTCCTCCCCCTGGCAGCCTGGAGGGGCACCTGCCCCCTCCAGTGGGGCTTTCCCACGGGAAGAGCGCACGGCCGCCCTCCCCTGCTGCTCCAGCTCGGCCATGGGGCCACAGTGAGGATTGCCCTCCCCTCGGTGACCCTCCAGGGGCACTTCTGGCTGCCCCCAACCCACCTTGGATTATCTCCTCTTTGACCTTCTGTAGTTCACGCCGAACCTCCTGCAAAAGTTCCTGGGGGGGGGGGGGAAGGAGACGCATTGAGGCCAAGGGTCTCTGCGGAGGGGGTGGGTGCGTGGGGGCTTCTGAAAGCAGCAGGCTGGCATGACGGCTGCTTGTCCGAGAGCCCCCTTCTCCTGACCCCCACCAGGCCTGCTGGCCCTGAAGCATGCAGGGCACACGGGTCGAATTGTGCAGGCGTGAACCAGGCTCTCCAGCGGACCCTCCCGAGGTGCCAGGGCTGGGGGGGGCTCACCTGTTTCACCCGCTCCAGCTCGGATTCATCCCCTGCGCCCCCCGCGGGCTCCCCGGCCGTCATGGCTCCAGCAGATTTCATTCTGGGACGGTGAGGGAAAGGGAGGGTCAGGAACATGGCCGTCTTTTCCAGCGGCCCCCGGCCCTTCCTGAGGATCCCCCAGCAGGGCCGTCCCAACGCCCCCCAGGCCAGGCAGGGGGTTCAGGGCTGGCAGGGAGCAACGAAAGCGAAAGAGATGGGCAAAGGGTCCTTGGGGCCCTCTGAGTTTGGGTCTTTTCTGGCAGGCGTTTCATTACCCCAACACGGTAACGCCCCTAGCACTGATGATGTTG